ATCGGTATGCTTCGTTCGGTTCGTATTGCTAGAAAAAGTACTTAGCTACTCTCTGTTGCCTATGGAGTTGTCGTCTGCGACTGCGTACACTGTATCTCCCTGTGAATGGTGTATTGTAGGCACAGTTTCAGTCCTTGAGCAAGCACACAATCAACATAAAATAAAATTTAAAGTCTCTGTGGCACCTATGACACGACTTGGTTTCAGCTGGCACGGTGCCTTTCCAGCTTGCTTGCTAGTGAGCGCTCACTTTAAGTTATTTACAACTTCAGCGGTCACTGATGACACTATGAACTATCACTGTGTACACTGTATCTCCCTGTGAGTGGTGTATTATAAACACAGATTCAGTCCTTGAGCAAGCACACAAACAAAATAAAATTTAAAGTCTCTGTGGCACCTATGACACGAATAGGCTGGCAGTTGTCCTTACCAGCTCGATTGCCAATATGTATTCACTTTAAGTTATTATAGTCTCTTCTGCATTCACTGATGACAACTATGAACTGATTTAACTGAAGGCACAGTACTACACTCCCTGGTTGGCCTTTATCACAGCCGTGACCACAACACCCTAAAAAATAAAATAAAATAAAAGCTTTGTCATGTGGCAGTGATTGTGTGGTTATAGGCCTGTGACCCTGGCTGTACCTCCAACTCGGTGGAAATTGAGTTTTCAAAAATACAATCGTGTCTAGCATGAAAAGTCCGACATCGATTTACACTTTCACCTCACTAAGACGATCTTGACGAACTTATGTAATCACTGTCCAATTTCTGCCGCTCTACATCGAAGGCCCGGATGCCGAACACGCTTTGTTACAGAGACGCAACACGACCCGCCCGCCTAAACCTCGTGCTTATGTTTGAAATAATGAATGTTTGTATCTTTATATAATTTAGCTAAATATCTTTCTCGTCAGAAACAATTATCCCAACGATTATGAATAAACTCATTTAGAAATACACTATTACTTCAGAACAAAATTGGACAGGTTTGCAACAGCCAATCAGCTATAAATTTTGAGGAGGGGCGGGGCATCCATTCTCAGCTGGGAAAAAACGCGCTAAAGTTTGCATGTACAGTTCTGTCATGAGTAAGGATTTCTTTTTTCAATTGTATTGGAGTGAAAGTATTAGATAATCATAATTAAGTAAAAGTACTGAATTAAAAAATTTGAGTACTATATTTAAAAAGTAAATACCCTAAAATATGACCCAAAAACAGTATAGTACTGTACAAGTAAATTTATTTAGTTACTTTACAACTATGTATATTAATACTAATAAATATTTACAATTTAAGACGATTATCAGATGTCAATGAAAAGTTTCACTGCCGCAAAAGACCAATCATATGATGTGACCCTGAGCTCTACATGCACATCATCTGACGTAACCCGAAGTCAAGGGGTTAAATGCCCACAGCTCACATTTAATTTAGCGTTGCCAAATTTCATATAGTATTTGAAGGCAATGAAATTCAGCTTATTTAATGGTCTTGATATAATGTTACTTATCAATGAAGATTATTGATAACTACTGTACTGCAATCTTATTTTATTGTTACTTGAATGTTATTTTTGACAAAACATTGGGGAAATTAACACTTAATAAACTGTCTGGAAATATCTGGCATCTTTTGCTTTTACTGGGGGATGTCAAGATTTTCTGTTATCACCCAAACACTATAAGATGACCGAAAAGGGCACTTGGTCATTTTTGCTTACCCAAGCGAAGAAATTATCAGAGACCTACAGAGAAGTTATTATCCCTTAAATATCAAAATATAATCATGAAAGATTAATAATAAAGAACCGCAGTGACCATTCACTTGTTCATCCACAAACCAATCATCTGCCATGCTACAAAATGACCCTAGGCCTTATATGCAAAGTTCAAATGAACAGATCATAGAGATCTATTAAAACACCAATTTAGAAGAAAAAAATGAAACTTGCTACAAAATGCAAGAGAAGCACTATACAGTACCTGAGAAGGCACCAAAGAAGCAGCATGTGGGCTTGCTTGTTGTTTTGGGACAGCACCACTAGCTGCCTGTGAGAACTGTGCCCACTGACCCCTGGCTTTACCTCTGCGATGACCTCTGCCCCTTCCACCAGCCCCATCCATACTGGTCTCCTACTCGTAACCTCACCTGAGAAATAAATAATTGAATAAATTAATTAGGTCACAAATTTCATACTACTGTACAGTATAAAGTACTTGTCACTGCATTTCACTTAAAATCTGTGAAACTAATGTCAGTGGTGGATCCAGGGGGGTTTGGAAGGTCTGGTCAAACCCCCCTTTTCACATAAGAATTACCTGGTGTCAAGTTAAGACTAAATCACAGCAGGTCATGTGTCAACTCGTGCGTAGACCAACTCGTACACATTCCTGGCTTATGTTATAACACTTAAATGGGCTGCTTGCATCAGTGTATCAGGATGAGTGACCTATGGCAGGTGCAGGTAATTTATCTCTACAAAAGCACCCATCTCTGGTCAGTCGGGATCAAGCTGTCAACATTTCAGAGGAACTGCCAAGTGAGAGGCTGTAAATGTAAGGTGACAGGGATTACAACCTCACATTAAGTTTTGGGAATCCTGTTTGAGCAGATGCGGTAATACTTGACGACAGTTGTGGTCCTGAGCCAGCAACTTACGAGATTTCTCCAAAGTAATACTGTGATTGCTTTCTTACCTCACGATATGGCCAAAAAGTGTACAAGGAATTTTTTTTATATAAAATCAGTTTTAGATTTTTTTTTCCCATGCTGAATACTCATCTATAGTCAGAAGATCCAACCTCCACAGCTATCACGCCTTTGAATAGCTACCTATGGAACAGTTCAGTGACCCCTTTTATAGATAGGAATTGGTTATCCTTTTAAATAACATTTATTACATGACCAGTACTTGCCACCAACGAGCCAATCAGTGGCAAAGAGGATAAAAGTAAAAAGTATATAAAAGGTAAGGAGGAGCCACTTCAGGAAAATTTTCTTTATTAGAAAACTTGTTCACACTATATACCTCTTGAACATGAAAAAAATTAATAACTAACCAGGAAGAAGAATCTAAATTTTCCCACTTCGGGTTTTCTGATGTTTTTGTCATGAACACGATTTTATATACACACACTGTGCTTTCTAGAAAGCCACCATTACAGTACTTGTTTATTCACACTCCAAGGGACAAACTTTTATCATACAAAAAAAAAACAAAGCAGCTTACAACAATAAAGCGTAGTGGTAGAGTAGATACAGATGCTTGCCTATGCATTCCTAGTTCACCGAGCTGTAAATGAGTACTGTACTTTTACTTTTTACCTTTATCCTCACCACCACTTGCTGTGGAAGATAATTGTCTTCTTCCATCAGTTCTTTAAATTCCACTAAAAACTTTGCTGCCCCTTCCTTATCTGCACTAGCAGCTTCACCATGCCTAATAACACTGAAAATGTCACTTCTTTTCTTAAATTTTTCGAACCAGCCTTTGCTGGTCCGAAAATCTTCAAATTCTGTGCCTGAAGAACCAGGTTGATCTGTCTTTAAATGTTCGTAAATCTCCCTAGCTCTTTCACAAATGAATTCAGTAGAAACTGAATCACCTTTCATCTGTTTTTCCCTAATCCAGATGAGAAGTAACCTCTCAGTTTCTGCAATTAGGGATCTACTTTTAAACACTCTGGTAGATTTGTCTCTCACTTTCACTTCTTTAAATTTGTCTTTCTGTGCAAGAATTGTCGACACAGTTGATGTCGACATGCCATATTCTTTGCATAGCACATTTGTTCTAATGCCTTCTTCATGTTCTTTTATAATTTCTTGCTTAGTTTGGATTGAAATTGCTTTTCTTGATCTCTGAGGCCCCATGCTGGATTCACACAATCTCAACACGTGATATTTTAAGTTTAAACTTGCTGTAAATAAAGAGTATTTTCATTAAAATAACACTGCACTGCACTATATATTGTCAATATGTAAAATAAATTTCAAAATGACCTATAATTTGCTTGGAAACACACAAAAAAAGCATTTAGTTGAAGAGCGTCTCAAGCAAGATGTTACCTCGACTGAAAACAGAGAGACTAACGCTTGTTTGGCGTGTTAAAAGGCTGGATGGCGCGCCAGAACCTAGTGACCTTACCTTCAATTATGTTCAATAATTGTTAAAATGACTAAAAAATTTAATTTTAAACTTTTAAAATTATTGAATACAGGTTGTACCTCTCTAGTCCGGCAACCTCGGGACCTGACCAGTGCCAGACCATGGAAATTCACCCTTTTCCTGGATAGATAGTGACTTGTGCTTACGCTTAGAAGCACCAGCACCGCTTTCTCTGCTTCATGGTCTCTTTGAAGACATATTGAAGGGTTAAATGTCGTACTGTAGCTTCTCAAATTTCGCGAGTTTCTAATTCGACGTTTTCTATTTGAACACACTAAAAAACAACACATTTAAAAATTTTGTCGGCGGAAACTCGAATTTCGACGGGTTTGAACGGACCACCAACGTTCAGACGACATGCACAATCCTGTAAACAGCGTCATTGCTCTTATGTACAAAAGATTCATTATTGTTTATTACTGAAAGTCTTTTTGATTGAATAAATGTTTGTGTGTGCAAAATGAGCAATACAATTCATTAATAATACGTAGAATATTAAAACACGAGGAAATGAGACAGCATTGTTTTCGTTGATTACAAAACCAGTGACTGACTGGTTCTACATATAAAACTGAAGAAAATAAGACCCTGGTTGTAGCTGTAGTAAAATGAAGCCTCTTTACCTGGGCATAAACCCATGAAAGACCGTTTCACTCTATTGCTTGGTGCCAATGCTTCAGGGGATTTCCGACTGAAGCCTATGCTTGTCTACCACTCTGAAAACCCCAGGGTGTTCAAGCAACAGAAAGTGGTAAGAGCAAAGCTTGGAGTTTATTGGAAGTCCAACCGTAAGGCATGGGTGACAAGACAGCTCTTTAATGAATGGGCTGTTGAGGTGTTTTGCCCTTGTGTCATGAGCTACCTAACCACCAATAAACTCCCTTTAAAGGCTCTTCTCCTCATGGATAATGCTCCTGGTCATGACCCTGAGCTTGCCAGAACTTTGGAGTATCAACTTGACTTTGTGAAAGTGTTGTTTTTGCCTCCCAACACTACATCAATCATACAGCCAATGGACCAGAATGTGATCAGCAACTTCAAGAAGTTGTACATGAAGAAAATGTTTGGGGGGTGTCATCAGGCAACTTCCAATGATCCTGAACTAACACTGAAACAGTTCTGGAAGACACAATTCAACATCCCGGAGGCTGTAAAATTGATTGTGTCATCATGGCAAGAAGTCTCCACTAGATCCCTCAATTCTTCATGGAAAGCACTGTGGCCATCAGTAGTCCATGATTTTGGGGGATTTCAGGATGACACAGAGTTGGACAAGGAGATTGTGTCCATTGGTCAGTCGTTGGGCCTTGAAGTGGAAGAGGATGATGTCGAAGAGCTTGTGATGTCTCATGAGGAGGAACTTACTCCTGATGACTTGAAGCAACTGGATGAGATGTTACGGGTAGAGGCTGACAGTGGTGAGGAGGAAATTGAAAGTGATGACCATGTCAGCTAAACAGTTGAAAGATGTGATTTACCACTGGGAGAAGTTCAGGGAACTGGCTTCAAAGCACCCAGATGTGGAAAAACCTGAACTAACTTTGTCTCATGTTGAGGGCACAATGGTCTCCTTCTTTAAACATAAGTTAATGATGAGGAGGAGAGATGCCCCACAGACCTCAATTGACACTTTTTTCAGTAAAAGGCAGAGGGAACAAGATGCTATCCCTCAGCCTTCCACTTCAAGGAGAGAGGATGTTCATGGTGGAGAATCTGTCAGTCCAGAGGTTCCTGACATTTTCATGGAAGGTGACTCACCTTCCAAGAAGCAGCAAAATGCTTCTCCTCCACCTCCACTTCCTTCTCTTCTCCCTTATCCTCCTCCACCTCCCACTTCAAATTCACATCAGCATCATCATCCAGGAGCCTGCTACATACACACCTCAAAGTAAGTGTACTTTTCTACCATTTTTGTTGAATTTAGGCAATTTTCGGTGAGCTGGAACCAATTACCCAAAAACCCATTGAAACAATGGTTTCGGTTAATGAGACTTTCGGTTAAAGAGCAACCTGCTGGAACGGATTGTGCGCGTTAACCGAAGGACCACTGTACATTGTCAGTATGTAAAATAAATTTCAGAATGACCAATAATTGTACTGTAAAAATGTAAAAATAGTTTATGTTCAAGAGAGCCACAAGCAAAATGTAACCTCCACTGACCAGAGATACAAACTGACGCCTTGCTGGGCGAGTCAAGTGGCTGATTGGCACACCAAAAACTAGTTTCCTGTACTGCAATTATGTTAAATAAGTGTTAAAATGACTAAAAATTTTAATCTAAAACTTGGAAAATTATTAAATAGTACAACCTTCTTGATATCTACTCAAATGGGAACGAATTTAAGCCCTAGAACCGATTACTGTATCGGCGGACTAATATTCCAGCTGGTGAGCAAGCAAAAACATGTTGACGTTATTTCGTAAAAATTTCATGGAAGGTGATTCGTTAACCGAGGGATCATTGTAAATCAATTTTGTCCTCCGCACAGTGTATTTTTATGAGCCGCTCAGTCCAGGTGGCTTCTCTCGTGTCCACAAGACAAAATTAAACCATATCATAGTTAGTTCTTTCTGTTTAATATGCCAGGGGGTTGAGCCCCACAGCTAGGAAGTTATGTAAGGTTAGATAGGTTTCCTTGGTTAGGTTGGTGCAGTGTTCTAACAATGTTTGGTCACAAATTTTTCTTATCAACTAAGTTAGGTTAGATTCAATTTAGAAATAACCACTTTTGGCTAATACACAACTCACGACTGTCAAGAGTTAGGTAATTATTTTTTTTTTTACATTGTTGAACGGTGAAGACTTCCACTTCTATTCATTTACTTGAGTAAATGTTTAGTTTTCTAGATATAGGCGAGTTAAGACAGCATTCTTATAGTCATGTCGTCAGCTGTGATGTGGTAGATGTAAACAATGAAGCGTGATGGCCAATACCCGTATAAGAGACGTGGCCGTCAGTGGTTCGGTAATTATGA